TGAAATGAAAGTCGGGTTTTCTGTGCTCCGCTGCTCAGTCACTAACCCAGAACAAGCATGGAGCCAGTGAAGTGTCAGGACACCTTATATACACTTTTGGGTCACCATAAAGCGGTGGTAGGAGAAGGATGACCCCCCTGGTCCTTCAGAAACAAGTCAGCAATAACAGCTCCCTGGTCCCCTTTTAATGTCACTGGTGTGCAGGTGGAATGGGGCTCCGGGGTTGGTTGTGTGCTTAGTCTTATGGTGCTCATCAGGGAAGATTATAGTCACAGGTCACACTTTGCCAGCTTCTATTGTTAGTTAATGCCCGAGCACACAAACACACACGGGGCGTTCCTGTTTACCATACAGGTGAGGTCGCATCCAGGAATCCAACACAAATACATAGCACATATGGGGCGATTTCAAGAGCTGTATATGAGAACGCACACACACACACACGTTTATCCAGCATCAACGATATGTGAAAGTGCAGTAACCCATAGCAACAAATTGGTAATCACTTCTCATTCTCTTTAAGCGCTATTAAAAGGGGACGTCCACTTTCCAAAGGGGTGGTCAGCACAGGGTATAAGCATGCTTGCTCAGCTTTATGCAGCGATCTATGCATAGAACAATAACGTTGCAGTCAGATGATCTGTAGGTTCTTTATGTCTTGGGCGCTTTGTTGGTCAAGAACTGCAATTGTAGGATGTCAGGTGTATAATATTTAGAGATAACGTTAGAGAATCACCTGCACACCATACAGCGCCTGAACCAAAAGAAATGTTCGTTGGTGCTCGATTGTGACGACACGGATGGCGCCGTGCTACAGTCCAAATGAAGATAGAAGTCACCAGCACTCACTTGTAATGTGCAAAAAGCATGGCACTTTTATTGATGCGTCACATGGGTCAAGAAGCCAACGTTTCTGGTCCGTGCAGTGTCTATTGATGCATCACATGGTTCAAGAAGCCAACGTTTCGGGTCCGTGCAGTGTCTATTGATGCATCACATGGTTCAAGAAGCCAACGTTTCGGGTCCGTGCAGTGTCTATTGATGCATCACATGGGTCAAGAAGCCAACGTTTCGGGTCCGTGCAGGGTCTATTGATGCATCACATGGTTGAAGAAGCGAACGTTTCGGGTCCGTGCAGGGTCTATTGATGCATAACATGGGTCAAGAAGCCAACGTTTTGGTTCTGTGCAGAGTCTATTGATGCATCACATGGTTCAAGAAGCCAACGTTTCGGGTCCGTGCAGGGTCTATTGATGCATCACATGGGTCAAGAAGCCAACGTTTCGGGTCCGTGCAGAGTCTATTGATGCATCACATGGGTCAAGAAGCCAACGTTTCGGGTCCGTGCAGTGTCTATTGATGCATCACATGGGTCAAGAAGCCAACGTTTCGGGTCCGTGCAGTGTCTATTGATGCATCACATGGAGGCTATTACCTTGGAGTAGCTGTGACATCACTGTGCTGCACATATCCTGAGCAGAGAGCAGACCAGTGGGAGGGACCTAGCAGGCTCCACCCGCTACACAAACTACAGGAGGGGGTGCATACAAGACCAGTCACCCTGCACAAGAAGTGAGAGCAGCAGAGACCGGTCTTCATAACAGGAAGTCAATTCTCACACTAGGTCACTGCCCAGATCTGTAAGAAATAGACAAAGCTCCCCAAGATTCAAGGAGGAATATACATGACTCTTGTGTTTAGATAATATTTACTTATCCCGGAGTTCATCTTTAAAGGGGGATCTCCAGTCAGCATAAACACTGCTAGAAAATATAACTATCAGGCTATGGGCACTTGGTAGGTTTTTTGTACCAGTGAGCTGCAGGAGTGCCTCAGCAGTTGTGTGGAAATATACAGCTGCAGTACTGTGAATGTGGGCATGTCATGGATGGAATTACATGGTGTGCAATGGCTAGTGGTGTCTACAGTATACAGAGGTAATATTATGTACATAAACAAGATGTAGATATCATTTGCCATTTGCTTTTAACTTAAAGCTGAACTCCGGCCTTCACCTTACAAAGTTGTACCGGCTCCTCTCCTGGACTGAAATGGCTTCCTCTGATTTCACTGCACACCGTGAGCTTCTTACAATGTGCAATAGAAGCTGCAGCAAGTCAGACAGAGCCTGCTCATTTCCTGGCATGAGCAAGCCTTTTTCTCTCCAGCACGGCTGTCCCTGTCCCGCCCCTTTCATTCATTGGATTTCAGTTCCTTCAATCATGGAGGCTTAGCATCACATGTGGGCGTTACCAAGGATGATCTGCATGCAAATCCCACTCCCAGACTGACATCTGCTCATTAAGGCATTTTTTTATATTTGCATAACCCCTCCCAGGATCCAGCCCACTGCAATTATAAGGGCTGAGGGGAGTACTGAGGGAGGGTGCTGTGATGCATTCAGAAAGGTCACACAAGCCCCTCCCACCAGCCTGCCTACATTGCATGGAGAAGCACAGAGACCCAGTGATAACAGCACTGGGTATAAAAGAAGGTATTTAACAATGTTGATGAGGGGGAGAGAGACGGAACCAGGGAAGGCAAAATATGAGCAGATTATTCTTCAAATAGAATGCGTCACTTTGCCCATATTTTCCATGCAATTTAAACGTGTGTCAGAAAGGAAAATAAGATAGAACTCCCTCTTCCTTTTAAAAAAAAATCCAGGCATAGCTGTGATACACCGGGCCACCCCGCTACCTAAACGTGTACATATGGAAACAGAGGAGCTGCCACTGTTGACTTCTTTTTGAAATGAAAGTCGGGTTTTCTGTGCTCCGCTGCTCAGTCACTAACCCAGAACAAGCATGGAGCCAGTGAAGTGTCAGGACACCTTATATACACTTTTGGGTCACCATAAAGCGGTGGTAGGAGAAGGATGACCCCCCTGGTCCTTCAGAAACAAGTCAGCAATAACAGCTCCCTGGTCCCCTTTTAATGTCACTGGTGTGCAGGTGGAATGGGGCTCCGGGGTTGGTTGTGTGCTTAGTCTTATGGTGCTCATCAGGGAAGATTATAGTCACAGGTCACACTTTGCCAGCTTCTATTGTTAGTTAATGCCCGAGCACACAAACACACACGGGGCGTTCCTGTTTACCATACAGGTGAGGTCGCATCCAGGAATCCAACACAAATACATAGCACATATGGGGCGATTTCAAGAGCTGTATATGAGAACGCACACCCACACACACGTTTATCCAGCATCAACGATATGTGAAAGTGCAGTACCCCATAGCAAAC